GCAGAGATAGCCAACAGGTAAATCTCATTTTAACTTCTCTTGACAAAAAAATGGATAATCTTGAAAACAATATATATCGATGGTTTGATAAGTTGGATGACTGTGTTTCTGATTTTAGTATGTCAATACATAGAGCCACATGTGATTTTGATGTGTTTAAATCTGAAACCATGTCTGTTGCGTGCGATGATTTGATGGTTGATCGGCTAGCCAATGTCAACCAAACGCCATCGACGAGTATGGCTACAACATTGTTGCCAAAAGCCAAGGAGCCCAACGTGTCTTTTCCTGTGAACAATGCTGTTCTTAAGGACACACAAGTTGGGATTGGCTTGAAGAAGCCACTACGAAGAAGTCATCATCGACTTAATTCTAGTAAGAATGAAAATAAGAATCAGGGTGGAGAACCTGGCTACAAGCACGTTGAGCATGGAAAACTCACATATGATATGTTGTCAATCCAACGTCACGATGATGTTCGATCTAAACCGCTAGGGGGGCATGAGATCCCACTGCAAGGCGGGTTGAAGGAGAAACAATATCACAAGTGGCGAAGCAGTTTACCACATCCACCCTGTTCTGGGAAAAAGCATATGTGGGTTGCCACAAACACTATTCAATATAGAGGTGGTGACCACGTGAAAACCCCCAAGGCCACGAAAGTTGGTGTAACTTACCTAGATCCTTCGTGTAAGTTGTCCCCAAAGCCGCCACCGAGTGAAGTGGGGGGCAAGTTCAAGCAAGCCCGACATGGAATTGCCACACCAGTGTCGAGGAGGAACAAGTCTGCTATGAATGGTGGATTGGGGGGCAAGTATAATACTCTACAAACTCCAAAATCACACGGGAGCTCAAAAGAAACGATGTGGATGTGTGGTAAGTGTCGTGGTAAACAAAACACCCACACACTTGTCGGTGAAGCTCGTAAGCATCGGTGCTTATACTCACAGCAGCATGGTGAGAGTGCGAAGCTGACAAAACCAGACCTGTCTGGGCAAGCGCTGCCACATGGTCGATTTGACAGGACAAAGACGTTAGAAAACTTCAATGTCCCGCCAAGAGTAAAAAACACTGGTGATTTTCTCTGCCACGACCCTGTGGCTGAGATGAGACCAAATCAGGCTCGTGGAGTTTCGAACAAAGGTGTTCGAGCTCGACGAACTGGAGAGCTACAAACCACCATTGATTCCAAAACATCAAAACCAACGCGTGTGAAGCCAGCGGTGATGAATCATGGACTTTACGGATGGCTTGTTTGGTTTGATCCATGGAGCTGGCAGTGGGTGTGGACTTTTGGCATGATGGTTTATGCCAAAGTCTAGTTTGTTTCTTATTTAACTGTTAATAAATAACGTGGCTAAATTAGGCCACCTAATATGTTATAGAGAAAATATTATATAATATGATCAAGCGGCATTGCTAAGAAGAAACAACAATAGCGTTGGCAATAGTTCAAAATAATAAGCGGCGTTGTTCTCTTTTCTCAACATCGTTGGAAGATGGGGAATACACAATGCTGTAAAAAAAAAAAAAAAAAAAATTAGCTCTGCCGCTGTTTCCCAACAGCCCTGGCGGAAATATAAATTTTTTTTTTAATTTTTTTCAGCTCTGCCGGCTCTGGTGGAAATATTTAAAAAAAAATTTTCCAGTTCTGCCGCAACAGCCCTGGCAGAAAATAAAAAAAAAATTTTGGCGCTGCCCGCTGTTCCCCAGCCGTGAAGAAAAAAAAAAATATATATATAGCAGCACTGCTGCTGCCGCAACAGCCCTGGCGGAAATAGCAAAATAAAAAAAAATAATAATAATAATTTGGGCAGGCAGAGCTGCCAGCAGCGCTGAGAAAAAAAAAAAAAAATAAAGAGAGCGGCCAAAACAGCGCTGCGGGAGAAATATTATTAAAAAAAAAAAAAAAAAGTGATGCAGCAGCGCTGCGGGAGAATAAAAAAAAAAAAAAAAAAGTTTGCATGCAGCGCTGCGGAGGAGACTAACAGCTCTGATTAAAAAAAAAAAAAAAAACAAATTGTCTCTCAGGGCTGCCGCTGTGCTAACAGCTCTAATTAAAAAAAAAAAAAAAAAAAAAGAAGGAGAAAAACAAGGATGCTTTTAGATTAACAGCTTTGCGGTGGAGGTAAATAACATTGTGTTATAGTATAGATTCAACACCGCTGGCCTAGACTGCCGAAACTGGCCAATATATTTAAAAAAAAAAAAGGTGTAAAACGATGCCGCTTAGCTTGAGCAACCCTGCGGAGTGCGGGAGTGAAAGTCAAATCCGGTGTGGTGGGCAAACTCAGCTATGAGTTAACAATGCTGCCGAATAAAGAATGAATTCTGTGAGGGGCCAAGTAATTAGGAAAATGGTTTGGCCAAATTTAGTCGTAGGGATCGGCAAATATGTGGGTTTTGCCGCAGCACTGATTGGCCAAGGTGGATTCTTGGAGAAGCCATGTAGGTAATTAATGGGAATAAAAGAAAACGAATGGGAACAAGCTTTTTGTTCTTTATTGGAGAAGGAAAAGGATGCGGCCAAGATAGATTCCGCAGCATTGCATTTATGTGAAAGGCCAACAACACTGCCGTGTTGATGGATTCAGCGGTGGGATGTTATGGCCAAAAAGTTGTGTTTCTAATACAACTCTGCAGGTTTGAGGAATATTTTAAAACACTGCTGCGGTGGACCAAACAAGGTTGGGGTTTTTATTTAGAAACCAAGGAGAGCTACCAATCAAACAGCACTAGTAGCCTTGTAGGCTCGCAGTGTTGTCGTTCTAATTCTTCCATCTCCGCCTCGCTCAAGGTATAAGGTAATGGAGTTGTGTTGTTTTTATTAATGCAATCCACTGCTTTTGTGCGAGTGATTTTTGGTGGTTCATTTTGGCCATGGAAGGTTGCGGGAGAATTCAGAAGTTTGTGGCCAATTCCAAAATTATTTTTTAGGTAATGGAAATTATATCAACAATTTGGTTCATAATTCTTATAAACCAAATTGTGGGGGGCAATTGTTGACACCTAAAATTAATTTGACCTGAATTAAATGCCGCATTAATTAGTCTCGGCATTTAATTAGATACCGTGGGTAAAAAACGGCGTCGTTTGAAGTTAAGCGGTATCGCGAAGAGTTAAAACGATACCGCGAAACAAAAAACGGTACCGCGAGTAAGCCCAGCGGTACCGCAACACTGGAAACGATACCGAAAATCAAAAGGGGGCCGCGCGGTTAGTTGGGTATTGGAAAGGAGTTTGTTTATGATTAATTATTATTTTGATTCCTGGTTGGAAGGGGAAAATCGGTACCGCATGGAGATAAGCGGTATCGCGGAGAGTTAAAACGGTACCGCGAGTAGGCCCAACGGTACCGCGGATTAGCAAACGACAGTGTTTAATAATAAACGGTGTCGCGGAAGAAAAAAACAAACGGAGCTGGTTGGGAAAGAAAACGACACCGCAAGGTTGGAAGCGGAGTCGTGTAATGTTAAAACGATGTCGCGGGTAGAATCAAGCGGTGCTGCTCAGTTAAAAATGACATCGTTTAAGGCATCAACAACGCCGCAGTATCACTAAGCGGTGTCGTTTAGTTAAAAACCATACCACAATGGTTTGGATTTTGGCGAGGCCTGGCAAGCACAACGGTGCCGTTTGGTTGAAAAAGAAACAATGTCGCGGAATGGAAAACGACATTGTTTGTCAGCATCGATTAGTGAAAGGTGATGCCGCGGTATTGGTGAAACGACATCGTTGCATGGACAAGGTTGTAGGATTTGGCTCAATGCCGTTTCGCCAAGTTTCTGCAAACAGGAGCGGTTTCGATGGTACGTGATTTTTACGCAAAGCAGAAAGAGGAGATCAAGGCAGTTGAGACACGTGGGATTTCACAACGGAGCAGTTGAGGAAGCGGTTCCACCGAGCGTGAAGGCTACGAAGCAGTTTTTCGAATAAAAGCAGTGGAGCAAGGAGAGAGAAAGACAACGAAAAAATCAACACAGATCAACTCTGTTCAAACTTTACCTTTTCTCTGTAACTCCTTCGCGGAGCTCTCCTTCCAGGAAGGATCTCCATAGTTGTAGTCTTAGTCGTAGTCGCGGAGCTCTCCACAGGAATCTCCATAGGAGTAACGGTAGCGTAGATTCCTCAAAACTCAAACACCCTCGTTCGAACGTAGTTTGGAGAGGTGCGAACCGAATAACGGTTGTTTGATTAGAAGTCAAGGGTGTATCGATCAAATCAACGACGCCGACACCGGCGGCGGATATTTGACGATCTTCTTTGTTTTCTGTTCGATCGATCAAATCAACATCGCACGACGGTGGATATTTGACGATCGTCATCGTTTTCAGAAGTCAGAGTTGCACCGATCAAATCAACGACGCCGACATTCGGTGGCGGATATTTGACGGTCGTCTCGATTTCAGCTATCAGCGGTGCATTCGATCAACGGCACCGCAAGAGTTTCCATCGCGAAACATCGAATCAACATCGCCGGAAACGAATTCGGCACCGGCGGTGGTATTTGGTTTTTTCGAGGAAACACACGCTTAATCGCCCCCTGCAACCGCTAATTGTCCCTTCGTTCTCACCTCATACCAGTGGCCGGCGAATTCCATATCATCGCGGAATCAGAATTCAGTGGTTGATTCGTCTTCGCCAGTGACTTCCCAACTCTACCCGATCCTCTCCGAATCCCTTCCAATAGAGTTTGCTGGGTCAACCCGAGACTGCTAGGTCTGATGCCCTTTCAGATCCTTTTCGTCCTTTTCCATTTTACTTTATGTTGATGATAATGATGATGATGATGCTAGATAATTTCAGGTTGGAATCGTTCACAAGGGATAATTTTATTGATGTATGCTTGCTTTCACGAGGGTAGAATTGATGATGGTGCTGCATATTTTAGGAAGATGGTCGATTCAGGGCTGAGACCGGGCTTGCCTGTTAATGATAGACTGTTTGATTAGTTGGTTAAGGCTGGGAAGATTGACGAGGCAAAATTGTTCTACGAGCCGATGGTGAAGAAACTGAGGATGAATAATGAGAGCTATAAGTTCATAATGAAAGCACTAAGTGATCATGGGAGGTTGGACAAAGTGCTTCAATTGGTCAATGCAATGTTGAATAATGAGGCTATCAACGTGAATGAGGAGCTTCAAGAGATAGTGAAAGGCGAGTTGAACAAGGAAGGGAGAGGAGACGAACTAGACAAGCTTATGGAAGAAAAAGCTAGGCTAAAGGCTGAAGCGAAAGCGAGAGAAGGGCGAAAATTTCCATTGCTAATCTCTTCCCACCTAAGAACAAGGAAGTGGAGACAGGATCTGCAGAGGGAAATGATGTTAATGCTAATGAGGCAGCTCCTGCTACTGCAGAATCTGCAGCGGGTGAAGACCAACTCATAGAGAAAGCAGAATCTGTTGATGCAGAAGACTCGAGGGACGAGGTAAGAGCTTGAAAGATGGTGAAGTACTGTTCTTTGCCATCCCTTTATCAAGCCATGTTAAGGTCATTCGTCTGATTTTGCTATATATTGCTGCCATGTAATTAAACAATAGCTGGGAAATGAGGTGGGAGTTTGAATTCTAGGCGCAGTGAGTAGAATGTGGTTACTTTGAAGGATTTCAATGTTGGATGATACCCAAGTTTGTAGCTGCGCCTTCTGTTAATTTCTATGTGCACTTCCATAAGTTGTTCTGTTCTGCAATTACCTGCTGCATTTGGTTGGATATTGATTGATCTTCCTTCAGCTCCTGATCTATTGCTACGGTGGCGATTTGAAAAATCTATGGTACATATATAAAATATCTTTTTTAGGTACTTTTTAGTGCCAGTTCATTGTTATCTCACTTTCCTCTGTTTGGTGTTTCTCCTCTCTGATATCTCTATACTGGTTGTTCTTCTGTCAGTGAAACTCCATGGTTTTGTGCAAGCCGAAAGGGAGCTTTGGATTGGCTTACGACGTCATCGGGGTCAAAGATTTTTAATCACTGTTGTCTACGGGTCGATTAAAAGGTGAGCCCTCTGGATCAGTTTACCATCCCCAAGTCTTCGATTTGTTTGTCAAACAAAAATTGGAGTTTTTGACCCCAGCCATTGATTTCAATTGTCAATAGGGAACATGAATCTCTTATGCCTACTGTCGCTTTAGTTCTCAATCTGTAACTGGAAACCTTGACCTCATCCATTGATTTCTTTCTCAAGAGTTGGGCACGTGATTCCCCAACCCCAATTGTGGATTTTGTACGCGATCAGGTACTGGAATTGCTGCCCTTAACTTGCATTACAATATTTCTTTGGTTCATTTTGACATGACCGTAATTGAAGTTCTGTCTTTTCAATTGGTGAGTTCGTTTTTGCTTTCAGTGAACCTCCTTGCAAGTAATATTTACTTTCCGTTGTTTCCTAATTAACTGTCTTTGCTTGCCCGTTGTTAGGTCTTTTGAGTTTAATATAACTTGACCCTGTTAGATGTAGATGTCTTATAACAATTGATTTGGTTTTGGTTTTGTTTTGTTAGCCATTGTTTAGTAGGAGCGTTTGAACCGAGATTGTGTTGAATGCTTTAATGATTTTGTAAATAGTGTAAATTATTGTTTCGGCAGTGCTTGCTTGAGCAATTGTTTGAATATTAGACAGTGCCTCTAAAATTGATAGAAGTTAATCAGAAGGTTGTCATGCTCTATGGTATCATTTCAGTAGTGCCCCAGTCATTGGTTTCTTCCTATTTTTTTTTCATTATCCATAGTTTTGTAATTCCTACCGACAAGTTGTTTTGTGTTTCTGGATTTCATAGGTGATGTGGGAGACATATTCATGTCCAGCCATTCCATTTTACTTTTTTTGTAGTTGTTTATGTCGTTCATTGATTCACTTGCATTTTTGAGCTGTCATGTTGTTGCATTATGCTGCCAATTGTTCTGTTATCAGTTTCAGATATATGTATGTTGGTTTCCTGATGGTGATTTCTGAAAATCAGTAAGTGATTCAATCTATGCCAAGGCGCGAGGTTGTTTCAGTTTTGTGTTGTAGATATATTTGTCGGTTACATGTTCGTGTCTCTGTTCTGCTTGATCAAATAAGTTTGAACTTGGCGTGATTTCTGAAATACTATTAATTTTTACGATTTCTAGGTCTGTGGTGGGTTGCAGCAGAGAGTTGCCTTGACATACGCTACTTAAAGGGCTCCTTCCGTCATTTTCAGGCCTCAGGGATTTCAAATTCTCTGGCCTTCAAAATCTACTTATGGTTTTTGAGAATCCGCCCTCTGAAGTGTGTTTGTCATTTAGCCTGTTTGGATCGCTGCTGCATTCAGGATTTCAGGTATGTTCGTTTATTCTTCTACTTCTTCTTCTTTCAATATTTCGATCTAGGTTCCTTCCCTGAGCCCTTCAATATCGCTTTGTAATTTTCATGAGTAACAACCCCTTGAGAGTGTTTCTAGGTTTGTCAGACATTCTTCCGGTTGGGGAGGCAACAACAAGCAGATACGTTCCAACCACTTCTGGTAAGACCAACTGCTTCTTCTACGTTTAGAAGCAATCATCTTCGGTATGTTTTATGTTCTTGGTTTGTGTGACTTACCTGCAAACTACTGGTTTAAGGAGATTTTGAAACAAGAATTTGAGGAAGGGGGCGAATGAAGAAGAAGAAGCTTGCCTCGCGGTTTGAACTGTCTTGCTTCATTTCCTGTGTAATTCAGCTTCACAACAGCACCAAAGCAACATGATTTTTTTCTATTCTGCTGAATTGGGATCCTTATGTTCATGAAACTGTCAACGATTGTCATATTCTGGTACATTTTCTTCCCTTAACTTCTTTCTGCTTCATATTTTATATATGCTTGCTAAAAAAGTTTGCTTTAATGTTTCCTTTGTACAGTGCAATACATCACATTTCAACCTCAAAGGTTCAGGTGGTCAGAGGTAGTGGCCGATTCCTCATATACTATTTTCTCATCTCTTGGGTGGCTTTGATCTAACTCTTTTGCTTCCATTCAAAATTGATTTTAGGACTCAGTCATACGGTCACACATCACAATCGACACAAACTCCTTCATATTCATTGGAGCAGTTAATTGGATTGAAGCAGGAACATTGGCTTCTAGCTAGGGGTGGAGGTTCAGGTTCGGTGTTCCGGATAACCCGGAACCAAAACCAAAAGTGTCGATCGGGGAACTGAGAACCGATGCATCAAAAGAAAAATCGGGTCTGGTTCCCAATATGGATGTGTTTCAGGTTTCGGTGAAACCCAGAACCGAAACTAAAACCTAACGAAATCGAGGTGGAACCGAGGAGAGGTTCCTAAGGTGGGGCGGAAGAGGCCAAAGGTCACATAGCCTGATGGTAAGGGAGGAGGACTGGTGACCATAAGGTCCCAGGTTCGATCCTCACCGCCACCATGGTGTTCCCGGAGGCATCCCGCTATCACCCGGACCGCCGGCGGAGGTCCCGGGGTTTAGCCCGACTACGGCACCACAAAATGTGGTGACCGTGGAGGGTGTTCCTCGTTATAAAAAAAAAAAGGTGGGGCGGAAGAGTCCGCTGCTCCTCTCCGGCTCCAATCTCTGCCGCTACATAACAGAAGTCGGCGATGGTGATGAATCGGTTGGAAGGCGGGATTGGTGAGGGAGGGAGGAGGATCTAGGTGGACGGCTACACCGATGGAGTAAAGGAATCAAGAGGGAGGGGCGAGGGAAATTGTGTCGGCAGTGGGAGAGATTAGTACTCGGGTACTCGAAGAAGAACCATGAACCATTAAATTCGGTTCACGGGTATCCCAAATATTCCAGCTCACTAGAAACTGAAAGATTAATAAATTGTTCACCTTAGACCTGTGTAGTTAATTCATAAATAATTAATTATATTTATTATAGCATAGCCTCTATTTTATATAACATTTTTCTCCCAAATTATTATTGAATTTTTTATGTTAAATATTTTTCTTTGAAATGTATACTCATGAACATATTCATCCTGTTTTGCACCCAAACTAAAATACTCAACTTGCCATCGTATGGTTTTGAGAGATTGAGAAATTTTGGGCGGTAAAACGGATACATAATATGATAGTATATAAACCAAATAAAAAATTTACCTGCCAACGAGCCGGGTGAAAATATACATAAGATTGCTTGATCACATCCTGTGCCATATTTATACCAACAACAACCTTATATTAATCTCATCCGGCCAACGGGCCGGTCATTATGCTAGTTGGTACAAAAGGAGCAGTACTATTTAGCCACAATGTGGCATCGAGAAAACTGTAGATACCTGACAAAACACAAAAGCATGATTGAAAAGAATGACCATGATGAAAAATAAACTTAGCATTGGCCATGATTGCTAAGAAGCTGTAAATAAAAACAATATAGGGCTCGTTTGGAGAACAGGATTCAGGACATGGATTCACTGAATCTACAGATTTTGTAGAAAGTTATGTTTTTTTGTTGCTTTTTATATTGTGGATTCTAGCTTTAGAGATTTCAAATCTCTAAAATCTGTGGATATCAAATCTCTCATAATCAGAGAGATTCTAAATCTTGATTCGTAAGATTTTTTTTTCTCCTAGTTTTTCTCCTACTTTTATTTATTTATCACATGAAATATATTTATCAACAAAGTTTTTAATATTTCTTAAACCACTCTAATTTTTTTATTAAGGATAAACATGTTATTTAATATAAAATAAATTTTTTTATTTTAATTGAATGTTAACAATCACGGTTACCAAACAATAAACATTTTAAAATATGTTTTCAACAATCCAAAGAGTTAGAATCTTTAGATTGTTAACAATCCGTAGATTTAAACTCATATTCTCCAAACGACCCCATATATTCATAAAAAATCAACTAATACCATTCATTTAATTCAAATCCGATGGATTTATGATATAAAATGCATTTAGTATCCTAAAAATTATATTTTTGAAATAAGCTTTTCATAAACGTTTCACCTAATGCATTGTGGTGAAGTTAGCAATGGATTTGCCACCGGTGACATATATAAGATCAGTAGTCTTCTTCCATATTTTCTAAGAAGAAAGTTAGTCAAAGTGAATATTTTTAATAATAATATTTTGGTATCTACACTTTTCACAATTTTTATAATGGTACAAAAGTTAGATGCCACTTGAATCCAGAAAGCCAATCGACAATTAGTCTATAAATTTATCAATTTATTTAATAAATCCATAAATATTGAAGAGCTCAATCTATAAATGCAATTTATGCCACCTCTAATTTCACTTAAGTAGTGAAATTAAACACCAATACAACACTAATTTCATAATAAATTACCATAATTTTTGTTCATGGGCAACATGGCCACCCATTTAGGCGCTAGCAATGCAGTCAAAAGCGCGATTCTACCTAGAAGCGGAAAAGGGGTAAAATCGTAAA